AGCAGCAGCAGCAGCAGTGCTAGTAGCAGCAATTCTCTGCTGTTTGCGCACGCGCCCGACTTCCCGTAAAGCAGGCAAACGAATTCCTGTTTGCGCGAAGCACGCGCTTGTGTGTGTATTGCCGCCGGCCGATGAGTAGGCGATGAGAGAGGGCGGGAAAGGCGCATGCATTATTACACCTATGCTGGACGAGGCACGGTGCAATTACTACCTATATCCACACACACACACGCACGCACACACACACACACACGCACGCACACACACACGCACACGCACACGCACACGCACACGCACACACACACGTCCAGCTTCGACGCAATTAACCACGTCTGCAACTACGCACGTAGCAATCAACAGTCTAACCTCGTCGATTGGCAATGCGGGACGTATTTACACCCGAACATCGGTTTGACTGTTGCTAATGCCCGCCCACACCAGGTTCACGGAGCAGTTGGGGAAAAATCTCACCCCCCCTCCGCCAAAAAAACCCACTGCTCGCCAAGAGACTCCGTTTGTTTAGTTGCGTACGTGTAGTATATTGCTAGCTCTCTGTCATCGACTCTAAATCTAATAGGCTAGCAGTCGTTTTTTATCTCTCGTGTACTCAGCTGCGTAATCGTGGCAAGTGCTTGGCCAAGCTCAGTATGTTTTGCAGTCCACAGCGAAAATAAACCGTGTGTTGCTTTTTCTACAGTGAAATGTTGTTTCACAACGTTGGCACGTTTAATTTGTTGCGTGCAGTGCAATATTTGTCGTGGCAGACGAATCTGCTGGAATCTGTTTTATGCCTAGAATAAACTATAATATATTTATTATGGTGGGATAGCAATGTTTTCAGGTCGCATATAGACTGACTTCAAAGGTCTCTGTGTCTAACAAAAAATGGTCAACTTGTCTGTCAACAAGGGGTTAATTCGTCTTCTAGTTCTTACCTCTCAATGACTTACGGAGTCAGTCTATAGAGTATTCTAGTATCTAGCTAGTGTTCTATACACAAATACGAAAATTTAGTATTCAGAAATGGTAGTATATTGTTTGTTAACGAAAGCCTTTTCAGTTTTTTTACGATTCTGCATTCTGGTAAAATAAAGTTTGAAATTGGTTTTCGTCGAAATTTCTGTAACATTACAGATTACGTACTAGAACGTTTATTAATAAAGCTAAACGTGAAAGCCAAAGTACTAGTAAATAATTCCTTAGGAAATTATCTCGTTTGATTATGTTTCAAGATCAATATTATCTTCGTACGAATTAAAACGCATTTTCTCTAGAGCACCATACTAGAGGCCTAATGAGTTGCAATTAGAAATAAGAAATAAATCGTCGATGGCTTAGTCAGTATATACCTGCTGTATTATGCTAGAGTGTTCTTTCGTACTATCGTACGAGACACTTGAAGATAATTATATGGACAGCTGAGATAATCATGGACATCCCAATTAACATAATAATTATGTAAAATATCATTACGATATTAATTATAAACCTGCAATTTCGGTAAAATTGCGTAGCTCTCTTACTCGCGCTTGGAGTGTGCTAGCTAATGGAAACTGACACTATAAATTAAATCAGTATCATCTCCACACTGTCTACCTCGCGAAGGTAATTCCGTTAAACACATGAGAAGACAATGCCCCAGTTCCACTTATATAATTACTCTAACGCGGTATGTATAGATTGGCCTACGCATATTCAATACTACTGGAGCGGATAAACGCATAAAAATGGTCATGTGAATGTGCACTTTCGCGTAGAATTGTGAAACTTTGCACACATGTTCCACCAGGGCACATCGCGCCAAACGGGTTATTCAATGATATTGTATTTGTTTTTGTTTTTCTAATATCAGTACATTGGTAGATATATAATCCGTCCATCCATCCATCCATCCATCCATCCATCCATCCATCCATCCATCCATGCATTCATCCGTCCGTCCGTCCGTCCGTCCGCCCGCCCGTTCGTCCGTCCGTCCGTCCGTCCGTCCATCTGTCCGCCCGTCCGTCCGTCCGTCCGTCCATCCATTTATCCATCCACCCATCCATCCATCCATCCATCCATCCAGGACGAGGAAACGCGTAGATGCTAGCTGGCAATCGGCCTGCAGACCGACAGCGCGGGCTATTTTACCACGACGTCACCCTATATGCGCGACGTAACGAGCCAACGCGTAGTTCATGTCGGTGTCACTGCTGGCTGAACACAACACGTCTCATGTCTATAATGATATCATCTTGCTTCGCAGCCGTCGGCCGTGTCGCTGTCACCGAGAGTGACTGCTGTAGCCCGGGGAATTCATTTCCATGTGATCCCTGTATAGGCTACTTGCCGCATTCGCTGAGAGCTCGAGTAACAGCAAGCACGCGCGTGCAGCGGAACAAATTATTATCTTCGCAAGTCTGCAGGGCCGTAGCCTCTGGGGGCAACGGGGCAGCTGCCCTCCTAGATTTTGAAGCAAAATTAGAAAATAAGCTTAGCTAATAATCGTAACTAACCCTAACGTGATTTTTTGATCACTTGACACGTGAAAGCCTTGTCTCAGACCCACTCCTACCACACTATGGACGTCGATGAAGAGCTGGGCCCGTCGCTCATCGTTACACAGTTGAGTCATGAAATTTTGCCCTCCCCCCCCCCTAGGAATTTGCTCAGCCTACGGCCCTGCCTACAATATTTCATTGTTGCGTCTGCCCGCTCGGCTACCCTGAGAGTTTTGAATATTTTTGTTTAAAATATACGTACATATTTCGACTGGCTGAAGGCGTAGTACCGCATACATTTGCTTACGCCGCCGTTTCTATGGTAACGGGACATAGCAAATAGAGGAAAACATAAGAATGCACTTCAGAGAAATTAGCATACTTAAACGAAAACCATGTTCTAGCTTTCTGTAGGAGAAAGTGAAACACACTGGAAAAATATATAGGACTGAGTATTAAGTTACATATTGGCACTTCACCTATATAATAAGTATATAATAAGTATGGGTCAATGTTATTTGTGTTTATTCAGTATCCAGAATTAACAACGTGTATTAGCTGAATTCTCTGACCTACTGTTTTACTATATGGATCACTAGTCAAGCTATTAATACTGAGTGCGTCCATGTTTGCGTGAGTTATAGTAAGCTCGTGCATGGTGTTTACATGTGAGCGTGTATACATCTGTGCGTGCGCGCGAGTGTGTGCATGGGTAAGCGTCCCTATGTGCGCGTATATATATATAGCTACACGTGAATTAACTGAAACTACTTAGAAACGTTGTAAAGTCACTATGCTGATTAGACGTTAGAACCATGGAATAATCTGAAAGAGCAGTAGAAGAATAGACTGAGACTATTTGATATTAGGCTATAAGAATTTGCTATAAGGCTATTAGAAACGTTATAGCGTTAGTCTGGTGATCGATCATATGGTGATCATAGTCCCATGGTTAGTTTGCAAGTACCACGAGTGAGTGGATTGAGCCAGCTTATTACATGATAATCCTGCGACCACGGTTAGTCTGCGAGTAATAGAAGTGAGTGAAATGAACCTACTTAGTATTCTCATTGCGTTGGTTATAATCCTGTAATAGCGATTGATGAACGGAAAGTATTAGGTTAACGCGACGAAACGGAATCTCATTGAAGATGATTTTTTGGATCTTGTTGTTAATCGGAAGTTTTGATATTGTAATTTTATGTTACTATGCTAATCATATAACGTAATACTCATGCGTTTGACTATTTATAAGTTTTGACTATTAATTTTGACTATTAATATATTTGAAATTTTATATTATAATTCATTGATATAACTCGTAGATAATATAAGAGCACTCGTGATATATTTTAGATGAGAATGTATAACCTAATCATCGTTGAATAATATGCTGAGGAATATTAATGAGTTAATTTATGTGATAACGCGCGTGTACGTCACAGGATGTAGACATCTCAGACAAACATACACACGTGCACAAGAGCACGCACACGCACACACGCGCACACACACGCACACACGCGCGCACACACGCACACACGCGCGAACACGCGGACATAGGCACACACGCACGCACGCACGCGCGCACACACACGCACACACACGCACGCACTCGCACGCACACACACGCACACATACGCGAACATGGACGTGAATTAATGCGTCAGCAATGCAATAGATACTCTCATAAAATCGTATTAATAGTAATCAACGTGCGCACATAGCGCAAGTCTGCAATTAATTGCAGCTGTGATTATATGAAGTTCGTTTTATTACCCCAGATGCCCGTGCCGACAACACATTTGCATCACTAACTTTACTTGCTGCCATGCGATCGAACAGACAGCGGACATCTCATCTTACTGGGGTGACGCGTGAGAGTGCGCGGCCTGACGTAAAGCAGGTGCACAGTGCACACACACGCACACACACATCTCTCTCTCTCTCTCTCTCTCTCTCACTAACGCGGGACGCGTTTGCAGACGAGCAGAACGGCACTCGCACGCGCTCAGATATTCGGTTACGCTGCGCCAGCATCGCTCACGCTCTCCGCAGCGCCCGCGTGTGTTGTTTCAGCAGTTTGTCTCCGCCAGATTCCAAAGCGCAGAGAGCTGGCAAAACTCACGCGCAGCCTCTCTTTCTCTCGTTCTCCGCATCCTTCTAGCGCAGGAGGGATGCACGCATGTACAACACAATCCATCGCACGTCGCACGGACGGCGGCAAGTAATTTTTTAGTGGGAGCAACTTTATGCGTTTGCCGTGATTTGGATTTACATTCCAGCGAGATATCTATACAGCATCAGCGCGTGCTGTGTCGGCTGACGAGTGTTGGTCGACAGGGAGAATCTGGAACGCGCGAAAAGCATTGAAAGAAAAAGTGTTCGCGTTTCTAAACGCAACGTCGTCGTACTGTGTACATAGTTTGCACGTATTGTGTGCATATTGCGTACATGTACTGTGCATATAGCGCAAGTATCGTGTAGATATCGTGTACATATTGTGTACAAATTGTATACACATCGTGCGCATATTGTGTACATATTATATACATGTATATATAACGTGGTTTGCAGAGGTTGCACCGAAGACGTCTACGCGAGTGATATTGTACAGGTGTAATAGGCGTAATGAGGTATACCTGTGTTTCTGTAACCAGATGAATGATCTAACGTAGAATTTCTGTTCCCGTGTTCTCCTGATTGCGTGAAGGATCCTGGCACCTTTTCACATCTTGAAGTTACACTATAGTGCGTTGAGAATGAATGAATGAGGGATATACCGAAGCCTACTACAATGTGTATTTGTGATTGAATGCAGGAGCTATGACCTATATCATAGATCAGCACCAAAGTGTTTTGTCGTGGCTGGTTGGAAGATCTAATAAGGAACACTGCACGTGTGCTACTATGAAGGCATCAAGGATCTAACAAAGAGCCCTAGCCAAACTATCGACGACTCTAGTGAATGAATGATGGATACATGATAAAGAACACTCTGGGTTCTATTGAAATGATGAAAGCTCTGCTAAAAAATATCAATACCGTGTTGTGAGTGAACGAAGGATAGGATAAACAACGTCCGCGCGTGTGTTAGTGTGACGGGATGAAAGATCGAGTAACGAACGCTCTGCGCCTGCTTTCGTGACGGACCGACGGGCTCATCTATTACCCGGAGTGCGAACAGCATTGATGGCCACAAACATGACGTGGTTCTTCAGGCCAAAGCTGAAACCTGGCCGACAGCACGAGCTAGAGGAGGTGATCGTGAACAAGGTGAAAAACATCGCGATTCTGATGATTCGATTCGAGGGGTCGTTTTGGAACCCTTTTAGGCGTTCTGTTGTTCTTCGGGTGTTTTGGTTCGGGTGGCCTGTTCGGAAGTTCAACAAACGTATTGATCGTCGTGTATACAGTTCTGGTTGAAACCGCGGAGGATTTTCACTCGGTCTCGTGCTAGATTTGATTGGCATTGTTCGCAAATTCCCGCGAGAATGCTAGAATGAGTTCGTGCATGCGCGTCGATTTCACAGACATTACATAAAATCAATCCGCATTATGTTTTACTCTTCACTCTCCCCCGTCACCGTGGCTGTAATAGACACTATAGGTTTAGAAGTTGTTAGTTGATTCATCGCGGTATTGGATCGGTTTGTTCATATATATAGGTACTATCGTCATGGTTTATTCGTGAATGCTATATCGTCTACTACCGCCACTGGTGGCGGTGGTGGAGGTGCTGCTGCTGATATTGCTGTTGCTGCTGCTGCTGTTGTTGTTGTTGTTGTTGTTGCTGCTGCTGCTGCTGCTGTTGTTGTTGTTGCTGTTGCAGCTGCTGCTGCTACTGCTGTTGCTGTGCAGCTACTGCTACTGCTACTGCTACTGCTACTGCTACTGCTACTGCT